CAGAGTAAGGGATACGTTGCTATATTCAGAAAGCTGTTCTAAAACTGTCACTGCAGTTTTTGATTGACGGATCAATTATCTTTGCTTTAATTAACGCGTGTCAGCCACTATATGTATTATAGAAAGGGAGTAATTAATCTACATTCTAGAAACAACGCTGAATCGAAATCCAGTTTATTACTCCGCTGAAATCTTTTTTACTTCGTCTGATAGTCAGTATAGACAATATGGCGGATGATAATTTCGCTACGTGTGAAACATTTATGTGGCGAAGAAATCGATAAATTGAAAAGACGATGGCAGTAGAGATTGTAAAAAACGATCAAATTTTAATTATTCTATTATTTAAACGTTTATAAAAATAAAACGTTAATGTGTTAAATAGATTAACCGGTATTCTGATGGTTTCGGTCGTCTCGCGGGATTCGATTTGAAACGAAAGCATTGAAAACGTTCGTTTGACTGATGAAGAATTTTGAAAGAACTTTGAAAAAATTACCTCTCGAAATGTAACCCCATCCCTGATGACAATATCGATTGTACAAAATTATTGTTGATAGCGAGCACGTATGACTAAACCATCGTATCTTGTACCGCATACACGTGTACACGAGACGACCTTCGATCCCTCGACAGCGACAATTTTTCTTCGCCAACGGTTTTATGGCTGAGTGCTGCATATGTCGTATCGAAACCGTCATTTGTTTGTCGTTCGATGTGCGTAGAGGAAAAATGAAAATTTACTGAAATTTTACGAAAAATAAAATTGAAAATTGAAGAAGAGAACGTTCGCCGAAGTTCTTACCAGTTGTCGACGAGATTCGACGAATTACATCGAACATTAAATATTATCTCGATAGATATTAGAAACGAGTATTAAAAAAAAAAAATTGTAATCTGAATTTTTCCACTAAAGAGTAAGTATTTACATACGTATGTAAGTATATTGTTGGCAATAAAATTGACCACTGGCTATGCATATCTAATATTAACGCAGTAATTTGCATTTTAACGATATACATATAATAAGATATATGTATATATGTAAGAATGTCAGAGGGAAATCTTCTCACTCGCGTTATTCAATAACTGTCAATTTTCTATGGGGAAAATACAATATAAAGATACACGCATATAGACGTATATACACATGTTGATCATAAGTCTACTCACTTACATACAAGGGTGAAAAGGATCAAACGCGAACACCTATTGCTGCTTCTTATCAAAGAGAAACATGTCTGTACTTATCTGAAACTCCTCGGGCGTTTCGAGGATGCAAACGAAATCCCCATGTATATACGTCCATGTACGTACCTGTATGTACGTTGGTGCAATGAAATGAAATATCATATATCTTTGAAACTGTCCGAGGAAACCGTTCAATGACAAAAGCATTGACTCTCTGGGAGTCAAAGAGGTGAATTGCGACAACGAGACAACACCGATTTTGCTGAATAATCAATTTTCAAATAATGCAATATTGCTTACGGCTTGCAGCAATATCCTGTAGCTTCTGATCCCTTCTAACCCTGATTGTGTTTGTGTAGGTGTATGTATATATATATTGTATCGACTCCAAAGTGAATTTAATAATTTACACGTGAAATTTTGTAGGTGTATGCAGAAAATGTTTCGTGGTTGGTTAAATTAATTATTTCATAAAATCTGACCTTAATAACGTGATTAAATTGGCTGTGAGAAAAACGTGATGTGTTCATCATTGGTTAAAAATATATGAATAAAGTATACAATATAGAAAGAAAGTACGTCGTAGTTTCTCGAGTTAAAATTCGCAACGTTTGAATTGTACATGTGTATTATTGTACAACATTATTTATTTAGTAAAATAACAAATTAATAAATTCTCGTCATCGAATTTGGAAAATGGTTAAATTCTCTTTTGATATTGAGCTAGAGCAAAGCTGCTTTATATAATGTGTAAAATTCTACCATGATAAACAGGAAACACGTATAAATATGAAAGAACGTCAGATCA